GCCATGGACGCTGCGTTAACGACAAAAGAAAAGACGGACATGATCGAGAAAGCCCACAACACAATATTGTCGAGCCTTGGTGATAAGGTTCTTCGACAGGTATCAAAGGAGACTACAACATCGGGATTATAGGTGAAACTTGAAAGTTTGTACATGACCAAACCTCTGGTGAATCGACTCTACCTGAAGCAAGCTTTATATTCATTCAAGATTAGTGAAGACAAAGTGTTGGCTGGACAGTTGGATATGTTCAACAAGCTGATTCTTGATCTTGAAAATATTGGTGTGAAGATCGATGATGAAGATCAAGCACTGTTCACTTCAAAGAAACTCTCTTATATGGAAGGGAGTCCCTGACCTTTGAAGAAGTTCAATCAGCCTTGTATTCTAAGGACTTGAACAAACGAAAGGAGCATAAACCTTCGACGGTGGGCGAAGGTTTGACCGTTAAGGGAAATTTTTTGCGAAAGGATGGTAAGTTCAACAAGAAGAAAGGTAAAAGTCAACAGAAATCTTATAGTGGCGAAACATCTGGTATTCGATGTTATCACTGTAAGAAGGAGGATCACACAAGAAAGATGTGCCCTGAACCCCTAAAAGATCATGGAGGTAATGGCAACGCAACCATTGTTCAAGATGATTTCGACTCATTTGATGTTCTTGTGGTTTCAAGTGGCGATTCGAGAAAAGAGTGGACTATGGATTCAGGTTGCACTTGGCACATGACTCCAAACAGAGAATTGTTCGAGGAGCTATGTGATTAACATGGTGGATCTGTGCTACTAGGAAACAACAAATCTTGCGAAATTACAGGTATTGGATCTATGAGATTCAAGCTCCATGATGAGTCAATAAGGTTATTGACTGAAGTCAGGTATGTACCTGACTTAAAGAGAAATTTGATTTCTCTTGGTGAATTCGACAGAAAGGGATAAGTTTTTCAAGGAGAGAAAAGTATCCTAAGAGTCATGAAGGGGTCAAAGAAAGTCTTGAGAGGCGTGAAGAAACAAGACTTGTATACCCTTGAGGTTGAGATTGTAAGTGGTTCGACAAATGTTGCATCCAGGAAACCTATGTCGAAGACAGAATTATGGCACACGAGATTGGGCCATACCAGCGAAAGAGGCCTGGTCGAATTAGGGAAGCAGAACCTGCTAGGAGGTGACAAATTCGAAAAGTTAGAGTTTTATGAATCTTGTGTATTTGGTAAATCCTGTAGGGTGAAGTTTAACAAGGGCAAGCAAATAACAAATGGATCATTGGATTACATTCATGTTGATCTTTAGGGACTTGCAAGGAATCCTTCACACTCAGGTACAAGGTATTTTCTATTCATCGTTGATGACTATTCCAGAAAGCTACGAGTATTCATTCAGAAGACGAACGATGAAACTTTTGAGAATTTCAAAAGTTGAAAGATTCTGATCGAAACTCAAATTGGCAGAAAGGTTAAGAGGTTGAGAACCGACAATGGCCTTGAATTCTGCAACGAAGCGTTTGACAGTTACTGTGTTGAGTATGGGATTGCAAGGCATAAGACTGTAGCAGGTACTCCTCAACAAAATGGCTTAACTGAGAGATTCAATCGAACAATCCTTGAAAAGGTTAGATGCATGTTGGTTAGTGCTGGATTGAAGAAGGTGTTTTGGGCAGAAGTTGTTTCGACAGCAGCTTACCTATAAATAGATGTCCCTCGACTGCCTTGGGAATGAAGACACCTGAAGAAGTTTGGTCGGGACATCCACCTAGTCTCGACAAACTGAGAGTATTTGGTTGTGTGGCCTATGCTCATATTAGGCAAGACAAGGTCGAACCTAGAGCTCTGAAATGCATGATCATGGGATACCCTGAAGGAGTCAAAGCTTACAGGTTATGGTTCCTAGAGCCAGGTCACAGGAGGTGTATCACCAGTCGAGATGTAGTTTTCAATGAAGCAGAGATGACTTTCAAGAAAACTGATGGTGCTGACGAAGAGCTGGAACAGGGAGAGATTCCTGTTGTCGTGGAGCATGTTGATGCTGAATTTCATACCCCAGATGAAGTCAAAGAAGATACAGAAGATGTTGTCGAAGATGAGGAGACTGATAATGATTACCTGCTAGCAAGAGACAGGTCGAGGAGAGTCATCAAGCCACCCCAGTGACTTGGGTATGCAGATTTTATAGCTTATGTCGTAATCTCTGCAAGTGAGGTTCTAGAAGAAAAACCTAGAGACTATAAGGAAGTTATGAGGAGTCGAAAGAAGACTGAATGGCTGAAGGTCATGGATACTTCATGATAACAATACCTGGGAACTGATCAAGAAACCTGCTAGAGTCAGGTTAGTAAGTTGTAAATGGATTTTCAAAGCTAAGGATGGAATCGAAAGAGTGGCGTCGAAGTGGATTTTCATCAGAAGTTAGTTCGACCACTGTGTTTACTTTAGATTTCGACCAGGTAATTCATTTTTTATTTTGTTACTCTATGTGGATGATATTCTAATATCAAGCAATAATGTCGAAGATGTAATGAGGGTGAAGGTTGAACTCAATAAGGAGTTCGTCATGAAGGATTTGGGAGTTGCGTTCAGGATTCTTGGGATTGACATCCAAAGAGATAGAAAGCAGTCGAGATTATGCTTATCTCAAGAGGCATACTTACGGGAAATTCTCGAAAAGTTCGGTATGTCGAATTCAAAGTCTGTTGTGACTCCGACAAACCCTCAATTCAAGCTGAGTATAGATCAGTGTCCCAACACTGATGTTGAAAGAACTTATATGAATAGAATTTTGTATGCTAATATATCGGGTTCTTTGATGTATGGTATAATTTGTACTAGACCCGACATAGCATATGCAGTAAGTCTTATAAGCAGGTACATGGTGAATCCTGGAAAGGCTCAGTGGTAAGCATTGAAGTGGATTCTAAGGTACATAAATGGGTCTCTGAATAGAGTCCTAATTTATGGTGGAACCTTGGGTGAAGATAGTAAAGCAGCAATCGAAGTCTGTTCACATGGTGTTGATATGATCACCAAGATGTTACCCTGTTGCAATTTTTCCATTGTATGCAGTTGATAAAGTTGTATGAAGAAAACTAGTTCCTTGATGTTATAGAGTTAGATCTAAGGTGGAGATTTGTGAGATATTGGATCGAACTCTAGAATGGTTGAAAGGTAACTTCTAGTTCGACAGGAATTAAGCATGAGGTCGAAGTATGTTCGCATGCTACTGTCGGAGTAATGCGTGTTGTAGTCGAAGTTTGTTCTAACATGCATTAGTCAATATTGCTAGGGTTGTTAGCATGTTGAATTGGGCCTTGCTTGTAAGCCCAATTGTTTAAGTTAGCTTGTAATGAGTAATTGTTAAAAAGCCCATTAGGTTAGTGTGTTATTTTTCTTATAAATAGGATGCTAGTTTCTCAATCTTGGCATAAGAAAAAATAGGAAAATAAAATCATAATTTCAAGAGAGAGAGAGGTTATTTTGTTATTCTTGTATATTTGTAATTTTGTTCTAAGAGAAATGAAAGAATAACCGTTCATAATAATCAATCCTTGTTGTTCTTTGCTGTTTTACATTGTCTTCTTTATTAATCCTAACCCTTGTGTATTTTTTAATAAAAAAAATTATTTTATACTTTGTTATAAGATATCCGATTCACAATATTATTTTATATTTTGTTATAAGATATCCGATTCACAACAGATACCTAATTTAGACTCATAATTGTTGCTTAGCTGCTCCTTTCTAAATTTTTCCTACTTGAAGCATTTTTCTTCATCAAAAGCATATGAATTTGAGCTACACAATTCATCACTCAAATATTGTTCCTAACCTTCATTCTTCCTTTTAGAACCCTTGTTTTTATAAACTTTAGTCATCGAAATAGATGCACACACTTTTTAATTTTTCTTAGGGAATAGTTTCTTCGCATGTGACTTTGAACCACAAACCTTAATTCTATTTGACTTTTCTTTTATTTTAACTATTTTAAACCATTTCTTGGCTTTTTCACTTTAATCTCCAAATTCATCATTAAGTACAGTGTTTCTCTCATCCTCACTATCATCAAATCTCACCCTTTTAACATTATCTTCCAGACTTTCTTCTGTCACTTTTTTCAGTACTTTCTTTTAAATCGAAACAATAAAATGGAGGTACTTTTACATTTATATCCTTAATATTGTCATCAACATAGATATGACTATCAATTTTGCTGCCTACAACATGTGTCACATCATCAATCTCACAATCGTCCATATTAATACTTTTCCAAAATATTCATCTATTTCTTCAAGTGTACTCTAAATCCTAAAATTATTTTTATCATAACCCTAATCAAACACCAAATTAACCAATCTTAGAGATACTCCAATTGTAAGAATTTTGCTCATTGTTCTATAACAAAATATCTCCTATGATGAAAAATGACATTGAAAAGACCTATTCTCTCTTTCAAAAAGACATTCAACACACAAATTACTAAGTAAACAAAAACAATACACTTTAAAAAAATGTTACCATTGAAATACACAAATCAATCAATTTCTTGAAAAGGTTAAACACATCACCTAAGCAAAATAGGCAAATCACATTACACATAATTTTCATATTACATAGTTGAAATTTAAATATCCTTTTATAGGAGATAATACAAAACTAGCTTCTATATGATAGGGGTTGTATAATATTAACTCTAGATAACCTTTCACCATTGTAGAGAGTTTTTCATTCTTTCTATCAAAATTGTTCAATCACACAAAAATTGTAAGCTTTCATTGCAAACTCTTGTACTCTTTCCAAGTGATCATCGAGTCAAGAAACTCTTCCAAAATATTCAGCACAATCCAAATTACAATGAAGTCATCGTCTCAGTCAAGAAACTCTTCCGCACACAGTATTAGAATATAATAATACCACCCACCCCATTTTAGTATATATTTTTTTCCCTCTCACATGGATCATAGCTGCAACTAGCATGTTTTTTCAATTCTTGTCAAAAACAAAAAACCAGACAACCATGTTGGACTCTCCTTCATCTTGTTCTTCTTCAAACATCATTAATCTCTCCAAAACCATCATTCTTATTCTTTCATTACTACTCTTCTTCGGACTTCCAAAAACAAACTCACTTTTCTTCAACATAACAAACTTCGACGACCCAACTGTCGCTAACAACATCTCATACCAAGGTGACGGAAAATCAACCAACGGTTCCATCGATCTCAACAAAGTAAGTTACCTTTTCCGTGTAGGAAGAGCAATATACTCACAGCCTTTACATTTATGGGACAAAAACACTAAAACTCTCACTGATTTCACTACAAGTTTTACTTTCACCATTGATAAAGTGAATGATACTTCCTATGGGGATGGTTTTGTGTTTTTTATTGCTCCATTGGGTTATCAGATTCCACCTAATTCAGCTGGTGGTGTTTTTGGTCTTTTTAATGCTACTACTAATAGTAATTCTCTTATGAATTATGTTGTTGCTGTTGAGTTTGATACTTTTGTTGGGGCTACTGATCCACCAATGAGACATGTTGGTATTGATGATAATTCTTTGACTTCTGTTGCTTTTGGGAAATTTGATATTGATAAGAATCTTGGTAAGGTTTGTTATGTTTTGATTGATTATAGTTCGGATAAGAAGATGTTGGAAGTGTTTTGGTCTTTTCATGGAAGGATTGTTAAAGGTGATGGAAATGGAAATTCTTCACTGTCTTATCAGATTGATTTTATGCAGAAACTGCCTGAGTATGTGAATATTGGATTTTCGGCTTCGACGGGTCTTTCGACGGAAAGTAATATTATTCATTCTTGGGAGTTTAGTTCGAATTTGAAATCGGACTCGTCGGAGGATGTTCTGTTGGAGGGAAATGGAGGAAAAGGGTCGTTGAAAACGGTTGTGATTGTTGTTGCTGTTCTTGTTCCAGTTATTTTGGTATTTTTGATAGCTAGTGTTGTTGGTTGGTTGATAGTGAAGAGGAAAAGGAAGAATGTAGATGACGGGCTTGATGAATATGGAATACCTGTTTCGGCGAAATTTGATTTGGATAAAGCGACAATACCGAGAAGATTCGAATATAGCGAATTAGTTGCAGCTACTAATGGTTTTGCTGATGATAGAATGCTTGGAAGAGGAGGGTATGGACAAGTTTTCAAAGGCGCTTTGAGTTATTTAGGAAGAGTTGTTGCTGTGAAGAGGATTTTCGCCGATTTCGAGAATTCAGAAAGAGTTTTCATCAATGAGGTTAGGATTATAAGCCGTTTGATACATAGAAACTTGGTTCAGTTCATAGGTTGGTGTCATGAACAAGGTGAGTTTCTCTTAGTTTTTGAGTACATGCCTAATGGAAGCCTTGACACACATTTATTTGGTGACAAGAAAAGTTTGGCTTGGGAAGTAAGGTACAAAATTGCATTAGGCGTCGCGAATGCGCTTCGCTATCTTCACGATGACGCCGAGCAATGTGTTCTTCACAGAGATATCAAATCGGCTAATGTGTTGTTGGACACTGATTTCAGCACGAAACTCGGCGATTTCGGGATGGCGAAACTGGTTGATCCAATGTTGAGGACACAAAGAACAGGTGTGGTTGGAACATATGGTTATCTAGCACCTGAATATATCAATGGTGGAAGGGCTAGTAAAGAATCTGATATGTATAGTTTTGGAATTGTTGCTTTGGAGTTAGCAACTGGGAGAAGGGTTTTTCAAGATGGTGAGTTTCATGTGCCTTTGATGAATTGGGTTTGGGGACTTTATGTTGAAGGGAATCTCATGAGTGCTGCTGATGAAAGATTGAATATGGAATTTGATGTTAGTGAAATGAAGAGTTTGCTTATTGTAGGGTTATGGTGTACTCATTCAAATGATAAAGAAAGACCTAAGGCTTATGAAGTGATTAAGGTTCTTCAAAATGAAATGGCATTACCTGAACTTCCACTCGATATGCATGACCGCGCTCCTCCTATTGTAGCCTTTAAGCCGCCATCCAATGCTCCCTCGTTGTCACCAAATATGACTAACAGTCTTGTCGCTGTTGGACGTTAGTTAGTCAGATGATTATGCAAGCTTACGAGTTGGAGTTGAAGTCAGATGATTCTCCGAGTTTATGAGTTGAAGTCAGTCTTGTTTGTGTTTGATGTTACTCAAATATTCTGCGAGTTTACAAGTTGAAGTCAGATGATTAGTTAGTTAGTCATTAGTTAGATGATTCTACGAGTTAACGAGTTGAAGTCAGACTATTAGTCAATTAGTCATATGATTCTGCGAGTTTACGAGTCGAGTTTTTTTCATGGACAGAAGTTATGGTTATTCATGTTGAATTGAATTCATTCTATTTCAATGTATATTTGTTTTCTTTCTGCAACAAAATTGTTTGATACCTTTGTGATTCAGTTATTTCTCACTCTACTCATATACTTCTATTTCCTAAATTTTGTATAAAAATATTATACTCATTACATATAAAATTTTATGATCTTTTTTTTATTTCCCTTGACAAAAAATATGGAAATAAACATGTATATGAAATTAAGAATACAAAAGAATGTATCTTCCCTATGATGTTACATATTATCATCAACACTGTGTACAAGGGAAATCAATTCAACATTTTTGGTTTCTGAAGCATCCATATCCACCTTTGAATCCTCACTTTCTTTTGGAAGAAGAACAAAAGAGTTAGGATCAACTCTAGGCACCAAAAACAGCATACAAAGTGGAGTGATTCTTAAAATATTTCGAATCAAAATCGCCAACCAAATATTATCGAACTTTGTTCTTGTGATCTTTAGTACATGAAGTACGAATCCGCCGGCCCATGACGACGAGAGAAGTCCAACGTTATCGATCGACATTAATAGAGCGAAGAACGTTCCTTCGATGCCAGAAGGACAAAGCTTTGAGCTGAGTACAAGCATAGGCATCCATTTTAGTCGAATAGTCATTTGACCTATGCTTTCAACGAAAACGACGAAGACGTAATCTGGTATACCGAATTTTAGGTTCAATCTCAAGACAAGAATCAGATCAAACATCCCTGATAAGCCATAGAGTAACTGAGTCCAAAAGAGTAAGTCTCTGAATGCGTAATCCTTTAGCGCGTATTGGTATAGTATTGCGCCTAAGAGGGAACCGACGGAACTGATTGAAAATATGAAACCTACACTCTCCTGTGTAAGAAAAAATGCAAGACAAAAGTTACTGGTATTCTACGCTATTATCTTCTATTGAACAAAATCACACGGCGAGAAAAATCTTGACACGGATCAATATGCTTAATCAAATACCTGAGAGAAAGATGGTCCATCCTTTGAATCTGTATACCAATAAAACATTCCTTCGAGGATATTCAAACTCAGCGCAAGGGATAGATACATGTATAAACAAGGCCTCCATACATTTTCGCTCTTCAATGTCGTCCACATCGCCTTGCTAGCATCCACAAAATTTTGGTTCACCTAGAGAATGGAAAAATCATATATTAGGTATGTATCATTTGTAAGATCGCAAAACTTGAGCGATTTCACGATATGGGATGCGATTCAACGTGTATATGTTACAATCATACAAGCTTATGATTTAGATAGTGATTATGATAACATAAATATACCTGTCTGTAAGAAAAATTTTCCATACGAGGCTCGTCAAGCAGAAATCCAACCAAAATTACAAGTCCCGCCGGAATAGTCAACAAACCAAATACTCCCTATGAGAAAAATCTTTCAGATTGTGGAAAAAAAAAGAACTAATGAAGTACATTTAAGACGGAAAAACTTCGAAAAACAATGAAGAGACTAACTAACTAACCATAGGGCCTATAAGGTGAACAAAGATGCCACTAACGGAGAATCCTAATAGTGCTCCAACGGAAGAACTGAAGGCACATAAACTTTGCATGTCGGCGGCAAGGGAAGGATGAGAGATACTGTTCTGCGCAACACAAGCATCAATGGTCACGTCGGCTATTGCCACCCCAGCACTCCCTGCTGTTAATGCTAAAAGAGCCAACACAAGATGTAGGTTTTCATGAAAAGATAACGAAAGCATGGCAGTTGCTCCTAATAAACCTGCAGCCATCAAAGACGGACCGAAATTCAGATTATTATATTACCAAAGCAGTTTAAAAATCTCTCCCTCAACCCTTGTAGGCATCATTGATCTGTGATAAAAGACAACGTTAATCCCGAATAAGAAACATATAAAATCCAAGCCTCCTCATTTATAACCCTCCTAAGGTTGGTTGTTTAAAATCACGGGTCGTGTCTTAGCCCTTCATATTATTGATCTCAGACAAATGAGACTCAAACTGCAGTCTTGAAAATATCAAAAGGTTCAAAACTATTGATGCTACGACCAACCAAACGGTGAAAGCCCCATTGACTAAGAGTCCAATCTCCCATGTCATTCTCCCATCTAACAAGATATGATCCGACAAAGTGGTTTTAGGCGGGATGCCTGATGCATCCCACAGGCATCCCGCACCAATGTAGGGTTGAGTTAAGGTCAAATCCAATGCGCTTAAACCCATCAAACTGTTCTTACACAAGTCACCTAACTAACTAACACTTCAGCATCCATCAACAAGGATATACACAAAGAAACATAAAAACCTACAATCTTTCCTCTAACAAATAATGAAAATCCAACCTTAAACACAAATTAAGCTAATTACCTAAATCTTAGCCAAATCTATCCAACAAATTTGAACAAAAACATACCAGCAAAAATGAAATAAGGTCTTCTCCGGTATCCCAATACAGGCACAACATCAGTAAGAAGACCCCACAAGGGTTTAACAATCCAAGGAATAGAAGTGATTCCAGCATAAACCTGTGCTTCAGAAGGTTGAACTTTCTGAACATCTTTCATATAATACTTTGTTCCAACTCCAGCAAGAGCTCCACCAACACCTTGACTTATTCCATAAACAACAACAACTCCTAACACAAAACTCCAATGCATTTCCCTTGAAAGCATTTTAAACCAATGAATTGGAATGCAAAAACAGTTCCAAATCCAATAACCCTTTGACTTTTTCTGTTCATTATGTTCCTGAGATTCAGAAACTGAATCTTCCTGATTCTCTTCCTCCTGCATTGTTATACTGTTATTCAAGAGTCAAGACCAAATCAAGACTAGGGTTGAAAGAAAACTTTCCAAAAATATATTTTTTTTTCTTTTTTTTTTTTTTATGTTTTTTTGTTTCTCATGATGTGAATCTATTACCCCTTCAAGAGTTGAAACATTTTTAACTGATTTGATTTTTGGAAATGAAGAAAAAATGGAACTGTGTAAAGTAAAGGATGAGCTTGACCATGAGGTATATTGTATGGATCTTTATGAATAATGAATGAATGGTAGAAAAAAAAAGTACATGGTAAAAAAATGTTGCTTGTTGAAAATGAATGCAATAGTCTCAAGATATTTGGTGAGAGGGTAAATCTAATTCAAGACAGCTGTTGGAATGAAAGCATTTGTGATAAGTACAAAATGATGATGTTTCCTAAGTTTGACTATTAAAATGGAAAAATAAAAACTTCTACTTGACATCATTTTTTTTCTTTTCTAGTAGTATGTTACGTATCAAAAGAGTTATATATTAGGATGGAGATTATGCCATAAATTTAACCAAAAAAATATATCAAATTAATTGGGGTAGAGAAGGAGTGAGTGAGTACCAAAAAAATTTGAATTTTAAAAATGAGAGGGGATGGAGGAGGTGTTGATATATCACTAAGCATCACTTATTAAATTCATTGTATTTATTAATTTTATTACATATTTATTTTTATTATGATAATATGTTGTTCTGATAATTTATTATTTAAATTTTTATTTTTAATATATAAAGTTGTATAATTACTTTATGTTGAATGTTATTTTTGATGCTATGAAGAAATGAAATATTTTTGAAGTTTTCTCAATGCAATCACTAATATTAGAGGTGTCTTCTCTATCTTTTAGTAGCGTGTTTTTGGTCCGGCTAGAACCTTTGGATGAGTGAGAATATGGAGTTGAGGGGGTGAATAAACCGTTATTAAATGACAGATTTTTCATAAATAGAATATAAAAATGTGCAAAAGTCTTAAAGCGAAAATAGAAATCTTATGTTTATATTACAATTCAACACATTGACAAATACACAATTCACAAATCTCACAAATTGTTCAAATACAATGATTAATTGAGTAATTGTAGATTACACGAGACGTGTCTTGCACAATGCTTCAATTAATACTGGAATCTTACAGCACTGATTAACACATTTTTCCAATAGTTTGGAAGCCCTCAATAATAATCGATTAAAAAATTTAAAAAGGAAAGAAAATATACAAAGAGGTTTTCGGTCACTAGGACGATGTCCCAAATGATTAAGAAATAAAGGCTTTAAAACTTGCGTGTGCGTGTGCGTGTGTGCTCAACGGTTTTTCATTGGAATTTGTTTTCTTCCACTATGTTTTGACAAATATTACAAGAGTTCATATAATTATTATTCCATAATAATACTAAGAAAATAAATCTTCTATTTGGATCTTGACTCGTGTACAGCTTAATGCAAAACTCTTCTGCAAAATATTTATTCAGTTTTCGCTTCATGAATCTTCCAGCTTTATCAAACTTCTCACGGTCCTTGTGTATGGCAATCATCCATTGATCCTACCGATTTCTTGAGTAGTGAATTGTCTGGAGATTTAGAAGAATTTCATCTTGTTTGTAACCTTCCACACATTCACTACTACGGTCAGCTAGAGAGAATAACCTCATTCTTTTCATTGGAATTTGTCACTACCAATGACAATAGCCTCAATCTTGCAAGCTTCTAGAAAATCCTTATCAAAATCTTCAAGAACTGTTAGTTTCAAGACACGTTTCCCTGAATGTATTAGGGACATGCAACTTCAATCTCCCCTTTTTGATGTTTGTCAAACTTTCATTTGAAATTGAGTCTATTTTAAGCCAAGGCGCATGAACGTTTGTGCTCCTCCTAAAACTTTGCACGCATACAACACAGCATAAAACACATAAAACAATTTTAGACTCACATTATAACTTCTCCCCTTTGAAAACAATAAAAAAAGATAGATCAAAATGAGTCTAAAAACCAAATAACCAACCATAAAATGAATAATTTCATATGAAAATATTAGCTAAACAGCTAAGAAGAATATACAACAACAAAGATTAGATATAGAACACGAAGATAGACGTGTTATATGCAACAAAACGCAAATAGACATGCAACAACATGCAACAAGAACCAATTAAGTGATCAAAATTATCCTGAAACGAAGATTAAATAATGCATGAACAAATATATGAAACCTCAAATGCACGTAATTAGCAACACACATTTAAAAAGACATTAAATGCAAAGAAGAAAAAAAAAATGCTAGAGATGAACGAGTAAAGTAAAGAAGGAAATAAACATACTAATAAGCATATCAAGAACAAACATATACCAAATTATATAAAATTGGATACAAGAGTTATTGAGACATATCAATATAGTCGGTGAAACTATGATTTGCTACAAAATAGTGTTAGCGAAAATTACAATATACATAGTAAATGAAACTAAGAAGAATTCTCGATATATTTAAAGCACGAGGAATCCAAGATTCTCAATTCTCTACAGATCTTGTGAAAAGGTTCCAATGCCAATGGTTTTGTAAAAATATCAGCAGACTGATTTTTAGCGTCAACGTATTCAAAAACAACATCTCATTTTTCAACATGATCTCTAAGAAAGTAGTATCGGAACTTAATCTGTTTAGTTTATGAATGGAGTACCATATTCTTAGTGAGGCTTATTGCACTAGTATGATTGCACTTAATCAAAATGCACCCAATTTTTAAGTCATAATCTAGCCATTGTTGCTTTAACCATAGGACTTGTGCACAATAATCATCATCGACTACTTATTCAGTCTCGGCGGTAAAAAGAGAAACATTATGCTACTTCTTACTTACCAAGAAACTAAATAACTTACAAACAAGTGACAGATATCACTAGTGTTTTTCCTATCTAACTTGCACCAGCAAAATCAGAATTAGAAAAACCTATTAAGCTACATGTGCTACCTTTAGGATACCAAAGATCATCGAAAAGCCAAACAAGTCTAAGTGAATAAACTCGAGAGATTTTAATATCGAAACAACCTTTTTCGATTTAAACGACACTCTCATTTGCTTTCTCATTTGACAAGCATTAGATAGTTTATCTTTTAAAATTTTAATATTTGAAAGACCAAATACTAGATTCTTGAAAATTATTTTATTGATTAAGTCGAAATACACGTGTAAAGCTTGATTCGAGTCAATTTGGACGAAGTCAGTCAAAAAAATGTGAAAATTTTGTGTAATTCCAGTTAGGTATAAAGTGTGATTCAAATCAAATGAGACAAAGGCTGACTAGACCTGTCAGGTTCGAATCAAGTGCAACTTGTGATTCAAGTCACACGTTTGTCTGATTCAAATTAAGTTAAAACTCTAATTCGAATCATGGAGTTTGAAAAACTTTTATTTACCCCTATTTAATTTGATTTAAGTCGGGATATGTACATGATTCGAATCATGCACATAAATTCTCAGTTTTTCATGTTTTTCCATACTTTTGGAGTTTTTACGTGATTTTTTTGTGGAATTTCATGAATTTTTATAAGATTTTTCAAACAAAATTTTTTACTTAATATTTTTTAAAAATGTGTAAAATTAACTTTTTTACCGAATTTGAACTACCGAAATTTTCAAATATACTATTAAATTTTTCCAACAATCTATAAATTTCATCGTATTTTTAAAAAAAAAATCTGAATTTTTTGAAAAATCTACGAATGTTTGTTGGATTTCTCAAATATACTAATAAATTTTTCAGAAAAATCATGTGTTTTTACTAGATTTTTCAAATACACTACCAATTTTTGATATTTTTTATTTTTTATTTAAAAATGCAATAAATTTTTTTACCCATCAATTTTTTTAATATAACCGATAAAAATGCATATCAAATTTGGAAAACACACAAATGAATTTTTTTATTCGTACCGAATTTTTCAATTGTACTACTAAATTTTTTGGTTGACTTTTTTTTAGTTAAATATTAACGAGGATATTTTAAGTAATATGAAATATTAGAGGATATTAGGTTGAAGTGTGGGGTGGCTGGAAAAAATCTAGATACAACCCATCCATTAACCCTAAACTTAAAACATTCAATTATAAAAATGGCACATTTCAAAATGATATAGTCAGATATATTGAGTGAAATAATTCATTTTCACCCATTTGAATCACCATTTTGTTCTGCACTTTTGAATGTCTAGATGTGTAAATTATAAGCATCCTATTATCAATGAACCAATTTCTTTAACTTCACCAGAACATATTAATGAAGTAGTTGCAGCCACAGTAACAAGAGTAATTTTCTCAATAGGGAGATACAAGGTAAACTTTGTGACAGAAATAAAAAAGTTAAAGAATGTGAAGATAAGGGTGTTTTCACATTCAATTCTCACCTCCAACAAAACTATCTCAAGTTTTTGAAAGTCTGGTCTAGATTAATCATAGTTCAATCATGACAATAAATAGAAGTCTTATTTAATTAAGATTTAACTGCAACAAACATTTTATGAGATCCTATTTAACCACATTTTACCCGTGACAAATTTTGAACCATCTGCGATAGCATGTCTTACAGACCCTCAAAGACAGTCTTAACCTCCGGTATAAACTAGCATTGAATGTTTCCAAAAGAAGTTAGATCCATAATATTCCTCACATCACCATTAAATAAATGAACAAACATGTCTTCAACAACACCCTTGTCTATTATGTATGCACCAATGAAGCAACCTCAAATTTGCACTCTCAAGGTAAAAAGGGTCAAGAGCAATAAAGATCCTTCAAACAAAACAAAAAACAACCATTCATCCACATAACCCTTTTTTTTCTTTTTTTTCTCCATGTACTTACCTTAATGGAGACACAAGGGTAGCAAATAGCAATGATTGTTGAACAACTCTTATTATAACCAGTTAATGAGTTATATACATAACTAACCTGCAAATAAAGAATTTCAGTAAGCATCATTGTAGGTATCTGAAGGGCCTGTTTGATGGTCGGGATAAGAGAAAAACTATGGTTGACATATCAACATGTATATATTAAATTAAGGTGAAGTTACCTTGTAGCAGTTTGAATTTTCAATACGAATATTGAAAATCGATCTTGTCAACTACAAACTGTGATTCTCCAAAGCCATTCGATAGAATCAAAGAGAAAGTGTTCTCTCACCGAGCAACAAATCGGCCTTCGATGCTCAATTCCATTTGATGCCATGTACTCGCATTAGTATCATCTTTAGCAGCAACCAGCAATAGGAATAAACACCTCTCTTCCAGGTGAATTTGGAAGGTGACTAAGATCTTCATTTGCATTATTGAACAAAGTCTTTTGCACATAGAAGACCATATAACATTGTGAAGCTCTGACTATTGCCTCATCAACCTCGGTTATCCAAGCATCGTCGCATCTATACCATTGCTTCCTTAATCGTACAAAAGAAACATAATGGCCAGACTCGAGCGTCCCCGAATGTGTCACCACTGCGAAAATCTCGAACTTGGAAAATGTTTCTGATTCATCACCTCCAAAGTTAAAAATTCTATTTCCATATCTAGCTCTAAGAATGGAAGAGGACAAATATGGAGTCATGTCCAAGGAGAACGGAAACTGTAGGTAGCGATCAATCTTTCTCGACAACTTCTTAACAAAAGAATGCTCAAATCGTTTTACGTGCAAAGTAAGTACTAGAGGGAGCTTTCTAATAGACATTTGTTTCAATGAGTTTTGCCTTTCCTGACAATTTTGGCAGTAAAGTTTCTGGTCCGGCCCCAACTTCTCTGGCCTAGTGAACAAATCCAAACAACCGAAAAGTGTAGACATGTTGTCGTCCTCATTCTGTTTGGTAAGTTTTTTACCCTTTTCGGCCAAAGGTATATTAATGTCGAGGTTAAGTGAAATGTCCAAAAAAGGGTCATAGGTTGTCGAGGTGAATCCACAAGCCATACATGTAACATCCGATCTCAATAGCCCATAGAACACTTTATGAGCAATGCATTGACAGTCTCCACCATTTCCTGTACATATACATCTTAGGTTTAGTGACATGTGAGCCTTTCCAGCGAGCCAGTTATATCGATATGGTTTTGTTTTTCGTATGGTAAAAAATTATGTAAACAACTATGGTTAATATAACACGGATATAGGAAAACAAAATTGCAGGGAAAAAACCAAGTCTTGGCATTTCGATACCTTTGCTACCTTTCCTTGTTACATCCTCTTTCTCATGGATTGCATCTAACAGCGCAATGAAAAACTCGTGCGCATCCTGCTGCTCGTAACTCGCTAAATTTGCTGAATGCTGCCACCAGCTTGAAACAAAAACAAAATGTTTCACCGTTTAAAAGAATACATGAATTTGAGCACCAAACCAAATTTTCATGAGACAAAATGGCAGACCTGTAGAGAAACTGAGCAGGGCTATAAGGATTCCGATCACCCGAATACATAGCTGAAAAAACAGCATTAATATCACAAATCAAACACAACCGATCCATAGTTCTTCTTTTACAATCCTCCAAATCATGTCCATCACTCAAGAAATAGTCCTTGAAAATAGGTGCATGTAGCAATGCTTGCAACATACAGTTCATAAAACATGTACTACCCAAATTGTTCAAACCCCTCAATCCCTCAGGAAAACAAGACTTCCCTCTCAGATCTTTAAGAAAACTAAACTTAGATTTATCATTCAAATACAACCCAACCCCAGAAACCAATTTCCTTCTCTTAATCAATCTCTGGCCAATACTCTCATTTCCAACAACACCTTGTGGCAAAACCATTGAATGGTTAGCCATCACAACTTGATCAAAATCAGAATCATAAACTTGATCACAACACAACCCACAAAAAAGTTCACCCCTTTCTACATCCACAAACAAATCATGACCAGTTTCAGTTTCTGGATGCAAAAGGGTATGATCCAAACAAGAGAATGAAGAACAAATCAAACATAAAAAAACCCTTTTTTCACACACCCCATTACAGTAACTACATCTGGGTATTCTTAAACTAGGTTTCTTCAAACTTGTCCTCCCAACTGGAGAACTAACAAGTAGCTTTTGAATGGCTTTGTAGCCACTGAAACCATGTTTGAGCTTGTAATCAGAAAGATGCAGACAAGGTTCTGGGTTTGTTTGAAACATAATAAGAATTGAAATTTGTTAAAGGAAAAAGTTAAATGAATGGTTGAAACAAAGAGAGAGAGAATATAATTGTTGAAGAAGGTTAAAGTGATGTTATTGTCTTGTCTGAATGATGTGTGATTTGAAAGAATGAATAAAGATGGAAAAAAGCAAAACAACAAACAAAGATTGAAATGAGAAAAAGAACAATAAAATAGGTTTTCACTATTGATCATCATTCATAGATAGATATAATAACAAAAAAAACAAATATATATATATATATATATATATATATTATATATATATATATATATATATATATATATATATATATATATATATATATATATATATATATAAATTAGTTTGATATAACTTTTTTTTTCTTCCAAATTTATCCTTTTTAATTTTCGTTTTTAATTTTTAATTTTTTTCTCACAAGGGCGGTTATACAACGGTTTATTAACTGCCGACGATTTATTATTTTTTATATATTTATTTTTAACTATTTTATAAATAATTTAAAATCAAATTAAAATTAAATAAAAATATAATATAAATTATATTTTATGAAAGTCGGTATTAGAGAAAATAAATAAGACGGTAGTATATATAAAATGAATAATTTGTTTTGGTGTAAATTATTTTTTTTATAATTTTTATCTTTATTTTATTGTGTAATTATTTAATAATTTTTTATTTTCTATGTAACTTCTTATTATTAACTTTTACGTATTGTATTTTAAAAAAATATTTTAACAAAAAATAATTTTTATATTTTATACGTATTAAAAAAGTGGACAGACGAGTATGTGCCCGTCTGGACGCTAGTCTATAATTCTATAACATATATAAAGGAAAAATATGGTGTTTTGGTGTAATATATTTTTCTATTAATTTTACCCTTTAAATGTATAACTCACAATAACTTCCACTAAAATCACTATTATCATCTTTCACATAAATTCTTATTATTAATTTCCTATCTAACTTTATACTATTAACTTTCTACATAACATTCATTTAAAATTAATATTAAATAAAAAAAATATCATTTAAATTTTTACGCGAGTGTCTGTCCGAACGCTAGTATATATAAAGACAAAACTTATCTTTGATATAGTTTCTTTTTTTTACCAATTTTATCCTTACTTCTATTAAAATTACTTTATCTTTTACATAACTTTCTATTATTAACTTTTTATATAACTTTCTATCTAACTTTCTTTTAAAATTAATATTAAATAAAAAATATCATAAATATTTTTATGTGTATTAAAAAAGCGGAAGACGGACGAGTGTCTCTCTGAACACTAGTATATATATAAATCGGATGTCGTATGTTCAAACTCGTGCACTCTATGTTTTTATATAACTTGAATTGATTTAATGAACTTTTTTATATTTTTTATAAATGTATTGAATTATGTAATTTGTTGTTGGATAAGAAAGATTAAATGTTGAAAAGATGTAATGAGGTTAGTTTGAATGGTAAAATAAAATATTAGAAATGAAATTGTAGAGAGTTCTAATATTGAATGATGGTGAGGGAAGTAGCTGCGTGTCTTTACTTGCTACTATTCTCGGTTTTAGTTATGCAGTTCGGTTGCATGTCGTTTGGATTTATTTTAGTGTGTAATTTTAGTTTGGTTTGATTTTTAGAAGGATGTTTGAATCAAAGAGAACTTCAATTCATGTCTTACTAAAATAATTGTGATATTTTTATGGTTTTAAAGTATATATTAAAATTTTAACTTCATCAGCGATAAATATAGATTGTGTATTATTACTATTCTGGTGCTTAGTGATAAATCAAAGATTAACTGATCAATTAATTTTTAATGGGTCAGTTAACTTTCTTTTCAGTTTAACTAAAGCTTAGGATGTCATGGTAACTAAAAA